TCACGCCCACCCGCCTGCTCTGCCCCTACTCCTGGGGGGTCCCTGGGCAGCCATGGCGCCTCCCTGAGGCTCTCCAAGGCTTCCATGACGGCCCATGACACCCACCCAGGCCGCCAAGAGGCCTCCAAGACAACCGAAGATAGCTCCAAGACGCCGGAGATGGCCCCAAGACGCCCCAAATGCCTCCAAGACGCCCCAAGAGGCTTCCAAGAGGCTTCTCAAGAGGGCCCAAGACGCAAAAAACAATGATATTCCCTTGGTGTTTGAGGGAGTTTTGCGTTCTCGCATTTTCGGCTTTCTGACGCTCCAAGACGGTCTAAGAAGCCGCCCAAACCACCCAAAGACAACCCAAGATCGCTCCAAGAAGCCGGAGATGGCCCCAAGACTGCCCAAAATGCATCCAAGACGCCCCAAGAGGCTTCCAAGAGGCTTCCCAAGAGGGCCCAAGACGCAAAAAACAATGATATTCCCTTTGTGTGTTGAGGGAATTTTGCGTTCTCGCATTTTCGGCCTCTGACGCTCCAAGACGGTCCGAGAAGCCGCCCAAACCACCCCAAAACGGCCCAAGAGACCTCCCAGAGGGCCCCAAGACGGCCTAACAGCGCCCCAAGACTGCCCAAGAGACACCCAAGGCGGCCCAAGACGGCCCTAAAAGGGGTCCAAGAGAGGGAACACCAGATTAAACTTCCGAGCCTTCCGCCCCAAGAGGCCCCCAGGAGATCCCGAGAGGCGCCCAAGAGGCCACAAGAGGGCCCGAGGCCCCAAGAGGCCCCAGGAGGTTCAAAATCGGTCCCCGAGAGGGGTCCCAGTGAGAGGGTTCGCATAGCGCACGGCGCCCATTTCGGCACACCCCTCACAAATTCGTGGCCCCACGGGGAACTCCACCAAAGTTCCCAGCGGGAAGGTTCGCATGGCGCCGCTGCGCCAATCGCGGCGCACTCCTCACACACTTCGTCCCACCTGCCTTGCGCTAGTCGCACCAGCACATGGTTGGGCCGTTCGCCAAGATGTTTAGACTGACTACTGATACTACCCCTTTCTCTCCACGCATCCAGTCCGAGAAGGGCACGTCGCGTTCAGCATATACGGCTTCAAAAAGTGAGATTCACTATGATTGTCTTCAATTGGCACGTCTCCAGTGTTTCAAAATGGCGCTCCCGCTGCAACAGTGGCCGCATTTTCGGATCGACGTTTTGCTCCCGTCGGTTCATTATGGTACGACCGCCCAATTCGAGGGCCACACTGCCACAAACATATCCCTATCCCTATGTTGGGCATCGCCTCATCACGATGGCGATCTTAGGGATTTCCTCAGTTTCTGAGGGTGTATCCATAAGATTGTCATCTCCTTTTAGCGTGTCAATCTTAAGGATAAGGATACGTTCGAGGCTGGTGATCCTCGTCGTTGTCGCCTCGCTTCTGCCCCCTCCTCCGCCTTCCCCTGGTCAACCTTCTCCTCCCGCCTTCAACCTCCTCCTCCTCCTCCTCTTGTTCCTCCTGCTCATCTTCCTGTTCACTCGCCATCGCCTGCTCCTCCTTCCATGTCTACAGCTTTCCTTCTCCGATTGCGCATATTTCGACGTCTGTGACCCCAATCATCATGTGGTGTTGGGTCTGCGTTTTGAAGAGACAGCGCCCCGCGTCACTCCTTCCGCCTCCCCTTCCTCCCATCCATGCCTCTGCCCTCCCGCGTGTCAACCATATGACACCGTTCACACGTTTCGCGGCCTCAAAGGGAGCTCCACCTGACGCCTCAATAGCGCAATTCGCATGGTGGCGTCGAGCCCAGTTCGGTACACCAATCGCACCGTCCGTGGCCCCACGGGAGCTCCACCTGAAGCGCACAGATTTCGGCACACCTTTCACACGGTTCGTGCCCCCACAGGGAGCTCCACCTACGGCCCCAGTGGCGCAATTCGCACGGTGGCGTTGCAACCATGTCGGCACACCAATCACACGTTTCGTGGCCCCACAGGGAGCTCCTCCTACGGCCCCAATGGGGCAATTCGCATGGTGGCGTCGGGCCCGTTTCGGTACACCGCTCACACGGTTCGTGCCCCAACAGGGAGCTCCACCTGAGGCCCCAGCGGCGCAGCTCGCACGGTGGCGTTGCAACCATGTCGGCACACCAATCACACGTTTCGTGGCCCC